CTGCTCAGTGCCAGGGTCAAAGTAACTGTCCAATAAACAACAAGATCCTGAGTTTAAATTTTAGCAATGTCTCTTTCCCTCATTGTTCAGCAAATATCAGGGTGACATCGGGGACAGACAGCTCACTTGCCTGTCCTCGGGTGTATAAGGCTATCAGACATAGGAGCAGAAATGAGGCCATTCAGCCCATGGAGTCTGCTCCACCATTCAATCATGGCTGATCAGTTTCTCATCCCCATTCTCCAGCTTTCTCCCTGTAACCCTTGATCCCCTTGTAGTGACTGTTGTTAAAGGAGGCCTTGAGTAGATTGAGCTCATTGGAGTTGAGAAGAATGAGAGGTGACCTCATTGTAACATACAAGATCTGTAGGACACATACTGGGGTGAATGTGGAAAAGACATTTCCCTGTTGTGGGAGAGTCTAGCAGCAGAAGGCATCATCTCAGAAATAAGGGATTGCACATTTAAGAGAGAAATTCCATCTCATTTCTACGCTCAGAGAGGAGTGAATCTGTGGAATTCTTTACCACAGAGGGCTGTTGAGGCTGTGGCAATAGGTTTATTCAAGGCTGAGAGAGATTTTTAATCAGAAAGGGAATCGAGGGTTATGGTGAAAAGGTATAAGTGGAGTTGAGGATTATCAGATCAGCCATGATCTCACTGAATGGTGTAGCAGACTCGATGGGCTGAATGGCTTTTTCTGATCTGCATTTCGACATCTTGTGGTCATGGTGCTGTGGTAATGTCCCTATCTCTGAGCTAGAATCACAAATCCATATTCAAATGGGATGGTCACAGAGGTGTGTCAAACAGGACGATTTAAATCACACGCAGTACATTGCCAGGGGGCTGCTGTGTCAGACATGCACAAGTATCTATATCAGAACCAATCATTTATTTCTCCCAGGCTGTCCTGTTCAGCCCTGCCTTAGTGTTGGTCAGTGAGCAGAGGGCAGGCTGCAGCCTGAAGAGGACTTGGTGTGGGCTGGGGTTCAGATTCCGATTTTAGGATGAGCTGCGAGGACAGAGGCTGTGACACGAGGAAGAGTTGAGCTAAATTTATAAACATTTGCTTGTAGCAGCCTTTGGGTGGAGACTCAGCGCAGGGACCATGGCTGATCTTTTTCCTTGATCCAGTCAAGAGGGATTATTTTCTGATTCTCACAAGCGTTTGTGTGAGGACCATTATATTGCCAGTTTTGTTTTTTGGATGTTACGCATTTCCTCTGTCATTCCGATAGTCGATGTGAACATTCGAAGCCAGGCTTTGAGGGGCAGCAGGATCTCTGTGTCTAGTTTGCCAGTCAATGTTCACCTCTTTACTCAATTAACAAAGACCATCTGCTCACTCTCATGTTGCTGCTTATGGGAGCTTGCTGCACACAGCCTTTGCCATTCTAACAGACTTCATTCAGTCTGAGATCCTGAACACAAGTCAAATTGGGGGTTTACTGGCTCAATACCGAGGAGATGAAACATGTTTGATCAGACCAGTTAGCAACTTATTTCACAAACTGAGAGGAACCCTCTGGAAAAATGTAGTTTTTTTTCCTGATTTGCTTGGTCAGTTTTTTTAAGGAGGAGTTTGTCTGGTGACTCAGAACCTGTACGATGGGGAAAAGAGAGAGTGCAGAATATTCAAATCATAGCAGGAGGAGACTGTGACTGAAGTTCAAATCCTACATGGTCCAAATATCTGAGAGAGAGAGAGAGAGAGAGCAGGTCCTGGCATCCTGTCACCACTGCCCAATTGGGTAACGTAAATTGTCCTGAGGACAGAAAACAGCAAGGTGTGGTATCCACCCCAGGTGGATAGAGTTGTTAAGAAGGTGTTATGGTGTGTTAGCTTTCATTATTAGAGGGATTGAGTTCAAGAGCCATGAAGTTATGCTGCAGCTATACAAAAGCCTGGTTCGACCACATCTGGAGTATTGTGTCCAGTTCTGGTCGCCTCATTACAGGAAAGATGTGGAAGCGTTGGAAAAGGTGCAGAGGAGATTTACCAGGATGTTGCCTGGAATGGAGGGAAGGTCTTACGAGGAAAGGTTGAGAGAGCTGGGGCTTTTCTCTTTAGAATGACAAAGGATGAGAGGTGACTTGATAGAGGTGTACAAAGTGATCAGAGGTATAGATAGAGTAGACAGCCAGAGACTTTTTCCTAGGGTGGAGGTAGCTTTTACAAGGGAACATAGTTTTAAAGTGAAAGGAGGTAGATATCGGGGAGACGTCAGAGGTAGATTCTTTACTCAGAGAGTGATAGGGGCGTGGAATGCATTGCCGGAGAGGGTAGTGGAGTCGGCCTCATTAGGGGCATTTAAGCAGCTATTAGATAGGCATATGGATGATAGTATAAGGTAGGGGTGGAGGTTAGATAGACCTTAGGTTTCGGGTAAAAGTTCTGTACACCATCATGGGCCGAAGGGCCTGTACTGTGCTGTACTGTTCAATGTTCTATGTTCTAAAACCCTGCAGATGCTGGAAATCTGATACAGACAAAGAAAATGCTGGAGAAACTCAGCAGGTCTGTGGAGAGAGAAACGCCAATCTGAGTGAGAGAAACTCCATCCCCACAGATATGACCTGACCTGCTGAATGGTTGCTGTAAATAGCAGTTTCTCAGACTGGAGATGGACAATGTAGTCGAGGAGAATACTGAGATACAGTCTATTAGACTAGACGGGATTGAGGTTCATAAGGAGGAGGTGTTAGCAATTCTGGAAGGTGTGAAAATAGATAAGTCCCCTGGGCCGGATGGGATTTATCCTAGGATTCTCTGGGAAGCCAGAGAGGAGATTGCAGAGCCTTTGGCTTTGATCTTTATGTCGTCATTGTCGACAGGAATAGTGCCAGAAGACTGGAGACTAGCAAATGTTGTCCCCTTGTTCAAGAAGGGGAGTAGAGACAACCCTGGTAATTATAGACCAGTGAGCCTTACTTCGGTTGTGGGTAAAGTGTTGGAAAGGATTATAAGAGATAGGATTTATAATCATCTAGAAAGGAATAATTTGATTAGGGATAGTCAACACGGTTTTGTGAAGGGTAGGTCGTGCCTCACAAACCTTATTGAGTTCTTCGAGAAGGTGACCAAACAGGTGGATGAGGGTAAAGCGGTTGATGTGGTGTAAATGGATTTCAGTAAAGCGTTTGATAAGGTTCCCCATTGCAGAAAATACGGAGGCGTGGGATTGAGGGTGATTTAGCAGTTTGGATCAGAAATTGGCTAGCTGTAAGAAGACAGAGGGTGGTGGTTGATGGGAAATGTTCATCCTGGAGTTCAGTTACTAGTGGTGTACCTCAAGGATCTGTTTTGGGGCCACTGCTGTTTGTCATTTTTATAAATGACCTGGATGAGGGCGTAGAAGGATGGGTTAGTAAATTTGCGGATGACACCAAAGTCGGTGGAGTTGTGGATAGTGCGGAAGGATGTTGCAGGTTACAGAGGGACATAGATAAGCTGCAGAGCTGGGCTGAGAGGTGGCAAATGGAGTTTAATGTGGAAAAGTGTGAAGTGATTCACTTTGGAAGGAGTAACAGGAATACAGAGTACTGGGCTAATGGTAAGATTCTTGGTAGTGTGGATGAGCAGAAAGATCTCGGTGTCCATGTGCATAGATCACTGAAAGTTGCCACCCAGGTTGATAGGGTTGTTAAGAACGTATACAGTATGTTAGGTTTTATTGGTAGAGGGATTGAGTTTCGGAGCCATGAGGTCATGATGCAGCTGTACAAAACTCCTTTGCACTTGGAGTATTGCGTACAGTTCTGGTCACCGCATTATAGGAAGGATGTGGGAGCATTGGAAAGGGTGCAGAGGAGATTTACCAGGATGTTGCCTGGTATGGAGGGAAGGTCTTATGAGGAAAGGCTGAGGGACTTGAGGCTGTTTTCGTTCGAGAGAAGAAGGTTAAGAAGTGACTTAATAGAGACATACAAGATGATCAGAGGATTAGATAGGGTGGACAGTGGGAGTCTTTTTCCTCAGATGGTGGTGGCTAGCACGAGGGGACATAGCTTTAAATTGAGGGGTGATAGATATAGGACAGATGTCAGAGGTAGGTTCTTTACTCAGAGAGTAGTAAGGGCGTGGAATGCCCTGCCTGCAAAAGTAGTAGACTTGCCAACTTTAAGGGCATTTAAATGGTCATTGGATAAACATATGGATGATAATGGAATAGTTTAGGTTAGATGGGCTTCAGATTGGTTTCACAGGTCGGCGCAACATCGAGGGCCGAAGGGCCTGTACTGCGCTGTAATGTTCTATGTTCTATGGAGACGGGTGTTCCCTCAGGGTCAGTTCTGGGACCACTTCTGTTTTATAGCTCAGTGAAATACTAAGTAACATTTCAAAATTTGCCACTGATTCAAAACTTGGAGTAAACAGTGATGCCAATTGCTGACATTTGCAGAGGGTGATGGCGGAATGATAGCCCTGGGACTAGTGGAATGCTAAGGTAAGAAATGTGAGATGATGTGCAGACAGAGGTGACACTGACTTACTGGGCGAGGATATTGACCAGAGCGGTTACAGGGAGAAGGGGAGCTTGGAGAAACCAGAAACAGCTCTCCTGACTGAGGAACTTTACAAGAGATTTCACTGAGAGTACCAGTTTAGGGCAGATTTGAACATGGGGTTGGGGGGAGGCTCACAAATGAAAATAATGGATGACTCCAAAAGGAAATTGAGGGAAATAAACTCACAGGGTTTTGGGAATGGAGCGTAGGAATGAGATTGACTGTGTTCCTCAGTGGGGAGGCAAGGGTGAATGGCTTCCTGTGTTGTAAATAACGCTCTGACTCCAGTCCATTTAATCACAGGCACCTACTGTTTTATTTTACTGAGCTAATGTTTGTTGTGTTTTACATCACAGCTTCTGAAACTAATTAACTTCTGACACTTAGCGTCTTCAATTCCTTCAATCAAAATGAAATGTTCACTCTCTCCTGGTTGGAAAGTGTTTGCTGATGGTTACAATAATCTGTCTTGCTCTCTCTCTTTTCAGGGTGAAGATGGCTTTCCTGGGTTTAAAGGTGACATGGGTGTGAAAGGTGAAAGGGTAAGATCCTTTCCTGTGCCTTGCATTGTGTTCACTCTGAGCTGTGTTCCTCTGGCCCAGCTACAGCAGAGACAGTTTCTCAAAGGACTGTACTCGAGCCTGGGTCACACACTCTGTTTTTAAACTAGCATTGAATCAACACCATTCCTTAAAAACTCAGTTATTACAGTTAACTCCAGTGTATGATGGTCCTCCCAGCTACTTCAGTTTTGTGTTTGAATTTATTACCTCGATCATAATAGACCCTTTCCAGATCTAGTTGATCTGTTACTGATTGGAACTGAAATTTAATAAAGATCTTTAATAAAGATCATGACTTTCTGAATGGAAATCATGATCAAGCTGGTGGGGTCAAGGTCCGGGAATTGGGAATGGGATCCCATCTCTGCCTCAGTCTTGACTCTGACTCAGAGCTGGGATTTCCCAAGAACTTCTCAGGACAATGACCTTTCCCGTCGTGACCCTTGAACTTGCATTAGGAGATTTCCAGGGGCAGGAGGGACACTGAGGAGAGGGAGACAAATTGAATGGTATCAGGAAAAGCCGTAGAGAGGGCAGATGAGGGGAATTGTTTCATTACACAGAGTGCTTTGATCTGGAACACGCTGCCTGAGAGGGCGGCTGAAGCTGACTCAAAATAATTTTTAAAACGGAATTGGAGATACTGGAAAATAGGGAAATAGCTGAATGGCCTGTTCCTGTGCTGTAAGATTCTCGATCCTACAGACTCTTACCAGCTGGTTTGAAATGTTTTGAATGAATAAATATGAGTGGATGTATCTCTGCCCCATGCCCTGATTGTGTTGTACTCTCTGCCACAGGGTGAAACTGGTCTGGTGGGTCCTCGAGGTGAGGATGGGCCTGAGGGGCCAAAGGGTCGTGCTGGGCCTCCAGGAGACGCTGGATCACCAGGATCTGCAGGAGAGAAGGTCAGTGTCAGAGCAAGGCACACAGGGATTGGACTGGGGACAGTGATGGCGGAAACTGGACTTTGATCTCACTGCAGAAAGACAAGGTCATGGACTGATGTGGCCATTGGGTCATGTCAGCCTGGACTAGCTGCCTCACTGTGTCCAGGTCAGGAAACCAGAGCTCGAAGGGGCAGATTCCAGAGTGATCTGGGGATCAGTATTCCAGTGTGATTGTGAGTAATCTGTACAGCAGGCTCCCCAGAGACAGTGGAGCCTGTTCATGTCGATTCATTTAAAAGCTGAACTCATTTCTTTGGCTCAGGGACCTATCAGAGCTTTCAATAATGAGATTGATGGATTTTTATCAGTTGGGTAATTAAGGGCAATGGATACAATGATACTAGAAGGGTTTAAAATATCAATTTGGTCATGATCTGGGGTAGGTTTGAGGGGCTGAATGGCCCCATTCTCCAGTACCATCTAGGGATGGCTTTGGGCAAATTGGTATGTAGCTGTGTTTAGTTTGTGGATATGTTCAGTGATTGTTCATTCTAACAGTCTCTCTGGTCTTTGGTATATGTTCCTATGGGAGTAATGTGTGTCTTTTCCAGGGAAAACTTGGCGTTCCAGGATTACCTGGATATCCTGGGAGACAAGGTCCAAAGGTAAGACACTCCTACACAAAATCAGCTTATTGTATGCCTCCAGTCACATTAGGATCTGGCTTTGTAAACTCCAAGGAGATTATAAATGGAAACACAAAGTGTATTGGTCTTGGGGCATTTGACATGGACTCGCTCTTCAATTGAGAGGACCAGTGCACAAGGAGTGAGCTTTGGGTGATGAAGGTATTCCCCTGGCCAGTTCTTAATGACACTGAAAGTTCTCTTCACAGGAAATCACATTGTGGGCTCCAGGGCCTGAGTAATTGGAGATGTAACATGTGGAGATTACAGTGAGTTCAGGAGGAACAGGGCACTTTGGATCGATGGTTCCCAAAACTGCCCCCGCACTGAGAGGGGTTTCCTCACCTCATGTCTGAGCTCATTGAGGGATGGAGCACTCTGATTGGTCATGGACTCTGCCATCATTGGGCCATGTGATGGTAGACCACAGGCAGGATGGAGCATAACCAGTTACTCCCTGAGCCCTCGGTCCCTGAACAAATCGATGGGTTTATCAGGTCACTGTAAGGGTTAAGATTGAGTATGAGTAGCAACAAAGTGAGGGACAACCAATCACAATCCCTCTACCAGTGGAAACAAAACTTAGTAAAGATACGAATAGCTAAGCAACATTCGCTCAGCTCTGGGACACAGTCAACCTCACTGCCTGTATTACACTGTCCCTTATAGATTCATACAGTGCAGAAAAGGCCCTTCAGCCCATCGAGTCTGCACCGATCATAACAACTACTAAAGGTGCACTAATCCCAATTTCCTGCACTTGTCCCATATCCCGGAATGTTATGATATTTGATGCACTTTTTAAAGGTTGTAATGTTTCCAGCCTCCACTGCCTTCCCATTCAATATATTCCAGATTCCCATCACCCACTGAGTGAAAGGTTGTTTTCCCAAAGCCCCTCTGAATCTCCTGCACCTTGGCCTGAAACTATACCCCCTTGGGACTGACCCCTCAATCAAGGGGAATAGCTGCTCTCTACTAACCCTGTCCATATCCCTCTTAACCTTATACACCTCAATCATGTTCCCCCTCTGTCTTCTCTGCTCTAAAGAAAACAATCCAAGCCTATCCAGTCTCTCCTTGCAGTCTCTCTGCTTCCACACTTCAGGGATTCTATGATTCTATGAAATGTGTTGTGGGCACTATCACCTAAATGTTCCCCTCGGCCATGTTGAACACTTGTCCAGCTTCTTTGCCCAGAACCAGATCAGGAACTGCATCGTCCCTTGTTGGGCCTTCTACGTATTGATACAAAAAACTCCTCTGGATACATTTCAAGAAATCGACTACATCTAAACCCTTAACACTATGACTATCCCAATTTATGTTGGGAAAGTTTATAACCCCCAGTATAATTACCCGATCGTTACTCTTACACACCTCTGTGAACTGTCTACATATTTGGTCCTCTATTTCCCACTGACTCTTTGGGGGCCTATAATACACACCCAGTAAAGGAGCTGTCCCCTTAACATTCCTAAGTTCTACTCACAAAGTCTCGTTTGAGGACCCTTCCAAGATAGTATCTCTCTTTATTGCAGTAATAACTCCTTAATTAATAGTGCCACACCACTACCCTTTTTGCACTCTGTGTGGCCTAAAGATCCTATACCTGGAACGTTGAGTTGGCTCAGTCATCCTCACTGTCTGTGTTACACTATTACACAGTCAGCTTCACCACCAGGTGTTAGACTGTCACTCAGTCAACGTTAGTTCAAGGTCTTTACTTCCTGATTCCAATATGGAGCTGATTCTTTGGCTCTCTAGCCCCTTTGGTGTACTTTTGTCTTTCTCTAGACACTCTAGTTGTTTGTAAGAAGAACAACTTGGAAAATATTTCTCATTTACCAATATAAACATCACAGCTCCTATCCACTGCTGAGGAAAGGTGACTGGTTTTCTTCAAGTTTAAATGGTGTTTTATTTTACTTCAGCGAATGGGCAGCTTCTGCTGGGGAGAACAACAGCATACACTTATGTCTCTTTCTCTCTCTCTCTCTGTGGCTATGTCTCTGTGACTTTTATCCAGTTCCAACCTGCTCAGTTAGCTGAGAACTCCTCACCTCCTGATCATCTGCAAATTGTCGGAACCCACAGTCACGAAACAACAGATTTCACAGTAAATATTAAATTCCTTGCTGTGAAAATATGCAGCCAACCTGGTAAATCCCTGCTTCGGAAATCACCTTTGTCCTTACAGTCCACAGTTAAAGTCAAAATTAAACAGACATGGTCTTTACTCTCCCACCAAAACCATGTCTACTATCTCACTGAAGTCCTTGTAGAATAAATTCACTGCATTACACTCATGTACACACCTAGTCACCTCCTCACCCAGTGAAACCTGTCAGGCATGATCCTCTCTGACAAAGCTATGCTGACTATGCTTGATCAATCTTACTTCTCCAAATGGAGATAAATTCTGTCCCTCGGAAATTTTTCCAATAGTTTTCCTCCCACCAAGGATAGACTCGCTGGCCATAGATTCCTGGTTTATCCTTTCCTCTCTTCTTGAATATTGGTCCAACATTAGCGGTCCTCAGTCCTCTGGGACCTTTTCTATATCCAGAGAGCATCTAAAAATAAATCTTTCAATTTCCTCCCACTGCAGCCTGGAAAACATCTTCTCTGAGTCTGCAGAATGACCCACCACTAAAACCACCAACATCTCACCTTCCCAACTCTGCTCTTTTATCTCTTCTTCATTTTATTTTTTACTCCCCGCTCACTGTCCCCTCTCACTGTCCCCTCTCACTGTCCCCTCTCACTGTCCCCTGTCACTGTCACTGTCCCCGCTCACTGTCCCCTCTCACTGTCCCCTCTCACTGTCC